ATTTAAGATAAATAAATATATTAGCTACATATATTAATAATACCAAACAACAACAAAAGTGCCAATGACAGACTTGCCTTTTTAGTAGTATAGTAATAGGTTAGTTGAAGTTAATATTGCTGGAATACTGATGCTCAACGATCCTTGGAAAGCTAAAAAAAGTTCATGAATGAAATAGACCCAAAAAATCAAATATTAGACCCACCAATGGATGGATTATATTATGAATGTATATAAACATTGATTCTTGATGCTCATTTTCAGTGATGATGTTGTTCTCAAACACACACACACACACACACAAACGAAACACATTTTAATCTCATTTCCGTACCAGAAAGAGAGAGAGAGAGAGAGAGAGAGAGTCGTATCGGTTATTGAATAGAACCGAAATCAGAATCAAAAAAAAAAATAGTGACTCGTTCAGTTGAATTTATAAGATCAGCGGAAAAAAACGGGAAATACAAAAATCAAACCCAAAATGACGAAAACGATCAAATTGGCAACTTTTTAATATCTCACCACATCACACACACACACACACACACACACACAAGTCATTTGAATCAATCTGTTTTCTGGATATTGAAAGAAAGCGAGAAAAAAAAATCCAATAAAACATTCATAAATGACATCAATGAATGAATGAATGAATAATAATCTATTGGGATATAAGTAGATAGAATTTAATAAAATGTAAATTTGACTTTATTACAATCAACACACTAGTCGTGCACACACACACACACATTTGACAATCAATTTAAAAATAACAGTGTAGATCCGTTATAATCAACACAGGATTGATTGTTTATTTAATAAATATCAAACAACAAGAGATTCTAGAGATTTTTTTTTTTTGTTGTTGTCGTCGACAAATTAGAAATCAAAAATAAAAAATAATAACCGTACCGTTTTAATATTTATAATCACAAACACATCATAGATTGGATGTTGGCGGGAAAAAAATTGGGAAAAAAATCAAATGGTTATAGCCACTATATATATATTAATAGATAGAATGTAGCTTTTTTCAATATTTACTCATTTCATTTCACCTTTTTATTTGTTAACTAATCCTCAAATAATTTCATTTTGATATCTGTGTGTATATCTGTTTATTAGTCATCAGATAGAATATGGATGGATAGAAAAGTAAATTTTTTGCATCCTGTTTTGAGTGAATGTAAAAAAAAAATGGTCATCGCCTTTGTTCATCAAAATCGAAATTCATTCATCCATTGAATTGATTTTTCAAACAACAGAAAATTTTTTTTTTTTATTTTATAAATTCTCATTCTATATACACATGATGATGATGATGATGATGATGATGATGACTCGATATAGTATGGAATATGGATGATGATGATGATGATGATGATGGGTGATTGAATCGTAAATAAAAATAAAAATGGACACGTACCGTGCGTACAATATAGTCTATTTATATTAACGAAAAAAAAAATCTAAAAAGCCGGATCTAATGTCAAATCTCTCTCTCTCTCCCATTCTGTATTGAAACTATGAGATGTACAAATGTCCATTGTGTTAATAAATGAAATGAAATGTATAATGTAGCCAAAATGTGTGATATGATGATGTGATGGATTGAAATTTTGGTGTTAATCAACAACAACAACAACAACAACAACAACGGACAATACACACAGTAAGTGGTCTAAAATCGACATTGATCCATTTGATTATATATTTGAATGATATATATAAATGTATCCAGTACACAAAATGGATAATATTGATGATATAAAACAAATATATACAAACGGACCAATAAATTTTAGTTGATTAGTCGATTTGTGGTAAACAATTGATACACACACACACACACACACACACGCACACCATATATATATCAGTTTTATTTCCAGAAAGAAAATTGTTTAGAATCAAAAAAAAAGACCATTGACTATTTCGACACCAGAATCTCATTTCTCTATTCATTTTTTTTATAGAATATCAATTCTTGAATGAAAACCAAAACAAAACAAAAAAAAAAATTCTCACATAACACCAAAGCTTTAATAAAATATCACTATGGTTTTTTCTTTCTCATTCTCCACCCACATGAACAACTTTTTTTTGTTACCAAAATAAAAAAAATAATAGGCGAAAATATTAGACAATGAAATGCAACAACAACAGGAAAAAAAACCATTTGCAGCCAAAAACAAAAGCCAACCACCATCATTCAGTCAAATGAAAAACAAAATTTAAAAAAAATGTTGCTATATATCATCTTCATGCATATAAACACACACACACACACACACACACATACACAGTGACTTTCAAAATTGCAAATTTTTTTTTTTGTGAGAGAGAGAGAGAGAATATGAATGAAACGAAACGAAACGAAACGAAATGAAATGAAATGAAATGAAAACAAAAATGATTGATGAGGATCAAGCTTCACAAAGTCATATATATCTACATGGAGAATATTATTATTCGTCATCATCATCATCATCATCATCATCATCATTCGGTTTGGTTGTTGGTTGAAGAAAGAAACAAAAAAAAAAAAAAAAATAACTATAGAAGCGTGTGTGTGTGTGTGTGTGTGGAAAAAAAAGACAATTGTGCTAAACAATATTTTTAAACAAGAGAAATGAGAAAAATGATTTAAAAATGAAATGAATTAAAAAAAAAAAATGAATGAATGAATGAATGAACGCTAAACAATCATCAAGAAAATGAAGAGACCATTGGCTTATGTATGAATGAAAATAAATGAATGAATGAATGAATGAAACAAAAGAGAAAAAAAAGACGAAATGAAAATTCGTCATGAATAATCAGGACCAGGCAGAATGGTGGTTGACGGTTTTATTAATTTCCATTTTTTTTTTTTTTTTTTTGTCTTCTGTTTCTTCATTATCATCACTGTTCCAGTAATGGTCCAGGAAAACACTAAATTCAATGGGGGGGATCATAATGATAATTTATAACTTTTTTTACCTTTTACTTTTGTTGTATAGTTGATGATAATTCGAAGGTGAAATAAAACGCGATCGATCGATCGATCGATTGGGTATCATGGGTAATTTCATTGTTGTTCACTTGATGATTATTACTATTTCGACAACCATATGATTGATTTATATTTTTCCAATTTCTTGCCCTTAACATTCGAATTCCTATCTTTCTTTCTCTCTCTCTTCCTTCGAGATATGATTCGATTGTCATCATCATTATTAATTCATTGTATTGTGATTATAAAGTTATCCTGTGCAAGTGTGTCCAATTCTTGGCCATTCGTAATTGGAATATTTTCCTTTCATGTCGATTGATGGATGAATACGAAGGCGGCGTAAAATTGAATAAATCCAAATTTTTTTTAAGATCAATTTAATTAGTGAGTGAGTGAGTGAGAGAAAAGGACATTAAGTTTTTGTACATTACAATTCATTTTGATTTAATGGTCAAAAAAAAAGTAATCGATAATTCAATATTACATGTTTATAGCCGAAGAATCAATACATGATTTAGCACTTAATCACATTCATCATTGAATTATTATTTACCAACCACCAAGCGATAAAATAACAGTAAAATTCGTTCATTTTCATAATAATGGTATTGATTGTTTTTATCCAAATTCAATCAAAACAAACGAATAAACGTGAATGGCGGATGGTGGACAAATTCTTGAATACCACCATCATCAGATGCAGATCATATCCATTGGTTCGAAAAAAAAATTTCGAACAAATAAAAACCCAATGAAGTTATGATCGCCATCTTTTGATAGAGATTAGAGTGAATCTTGTATTTTTTTTTCCCAGACCGAATGTTGACAACGTCACATTTATTAATGATGACCAACAACTGCACTGCGATTGCGTGAAACAAGCTCAATGTTGTTGGCCTTTATCATAACTATCATGCATGCATGCATGCATCATGCACGATATTGAATTGAATGTCAATCTTTTCGTTTTTCCGTCGTCAATGTTCTTGAGATTTTTTTTTTTTTAATTTCAATTTTTGTTGCTACTACCTTTTTGGAAATTATTCTCATATCCACTAACAAACGAGGTAGTAGTATGTATGTATGTATGTGTGTGTGTGTGTGTGTGTCCAAATACAGCCGTCTGTAATTCCTTTTTTTCGTTTTTGCATTGTTGTTATTTTTTTCCTTCGTTTGTTTTGTTTTTTACTTTACCCGAGCACTCATTTTTTTTGTTGTCTCCGGGTTTTTCTGTCATCTTTTTTTTTGCTACTTTTAAATGTGATAATCGATGATAATTTTTTTTTTTAACAATTCTCGATTATAATTAGATTGTATTTTGGACACCAAATTCTCGATTATAATTAGATTGTATTTTGGACACCAATTTGTACTTTCGTTTTTTTGGTGTGTTTTTTTTTTTTGTTTTGGTTTGATTCATCATCTGATTCTGATATTTGGTCACATCGATTATCATTTTGGTGATTGATTGAATTTAGTTTAGCTTTTCTTCTGTTTGCGTTTTTTTTTCTATCATATTTATATTCTTTTGATGATTGATTCGGTATGTATGTATGTATGTGTGTGTGTGTGTGTGTCCAAATACAGCCGTCTGTAATTCCTTTTTTTCGTTTTGCATTTTGTTATTTTTTTTTTATGACCTTCGTTTGTTTTGTTTTTACTTTACCCGCATTGTTGTTATTTTTTTTTTTTAATGATAATTTGGGATGGGTTTAAATACAATTCCTTCGTTTTTTTCACCATTATGTTTTGATTCTGATTTTTACTTATCATTTTGGTGATTGATTGAATTTAGTTTAGCTTTTCTTCTGAGCACTCATTTTTTGTTGTCTCCGGGTTTTTCTGTCATCTTTTTTGCTACTTTTAAATGTGATAATCGATGATAATTTTTTTTTTAACAATTCTCGATTATAATTAGATTGTATTTTGGACACCAAATTCTCGATTATAATTAGATTGTATTTTGGACACCAATTTGTACTTTCGTTTTTTTGGTGTGTGTTTTTTTTTTTTGTTTGGTTTTGATTCATCATCTGATTCTGATATTTGGTCACATCGATTATCATTTTGGTGATTGATTGAATTTAGTTTAGCTTTTCTTCTGTTTGCGTTTTTTTTTCTATCATATTTATATTCTTTTGATGATTGATTCGTATGATGAGCTTTAAGCAACAAAAAGACGTAAAAATGAGAATTCGATCTTTTCCTGTATGTATTTTGGAATTTTTGATCTAAAATTTAATTAATTAATTACTTTTTTCTCTTTGAAACAATAATAAAAATGATGATAGACAACTATGGACGAAAAATTTGTCAACACTATTTGGATACGATTAAAGACGGCCATACAAGAGATACAGAAAAAGAATAACAGTGGATTAAGTTTTGAAGAATTATATCGTAATGCATATACATTGGTTCTACATAAATATGGTGAACGTCTTTACACTGGTCTTCGTGATGTAGTCAAAGAACATTTGGTTAGCCAGGTTCGGTTTTTTGTTTTGTTTTAACATTGGAATTTTTTTTTACCATAAATGAATTATATATTTTTATTTATTATTATTTGAAATTTATATAGATTAGAGTGGATGTTCTTAATGCACTTCCAAATAATAATTTTCTACAAGTTTTAAATCAAAAGTGGAATGACCATCAAATATCGATGACCATGATACGCGATATACTCATGTATATGGTAAGTGGCTGTTGTTGGATATGTTGAAATCATGATCATCATCATTAAAATTCAAATTTAATTCTTTTTTATCATTATTTAGGATCGTGTCTATGTCAATCAGAATAATGTTGACAATGTATATAATTTAGGTTTGATATTATTTCGAGATAATGTTGTTCGTTATGGACCTATTCGTGATCAGATACGTGAAACATTATTGGATCTAGTTATGAAAGAACGTAATGGTGAATTGATCGATCGATTGGCCGTAAAAAATACCTGTAATATGTTGATACATTTGGGTATTTCACATCGTACGGTTTATGAGGAAGATTTTGAAAAACATTTCCTACAACAATCTGCAGAATTTTATAAAGTTGAAAGTCAAAAATTTTTAGCTGAAAATAGTGCATCAGTATATATACGTAAAGTTGAACAACGTATCAACGAAGAAGCTGAACGTGCACGTCATTATCTGGATGCATCAACCGAAAGTGTCATTGTTAAAGTTGTGGAACAAGAATTGATTAGCCGACATATGAAAAACATTGTTGAAATGGAACATTCTGGTGTGGTACATATGTTGGAAAATCAAAAAGTTGAAGATTTAGCACGAATGTATAAACTTTTTAGCCGTGTTGATAATGGTCTTACCACAATAATTGCGGCTGTCAGTAATCATCTACGTCAAGAGGGAAAATCATCGGTCACTGATGATGGAAACAAAGAAGATCCTATTGCATTTGTTACTGTAATTTTTGAAAAAATTTAAAATTTACTTTTTGAGATTAACTTTTTTTTTTTCTTTGGTTTAGGCTCTTCTCGATCTAAAGGATAAATATGATATATTTTTAAATTGTTCATTTTTCAATGACAAAGAATTTCTTAAGATGATTGGCAAAGATTTTGAACATTTTTTGAATCTAAATCCTAAATCACCAGAATATCTGTCATTATTTATTGATGATAAATTGAAAAAAGTTGTTAAAGGAATGGCCGATCATGAAATTGAACAAATTCTTGACAAAACAATGGTACTATTTCGATATATACAGGATAAGGATATCTTTGAACGTTATTATAAACAACATTTGGCTAAACGATTATTATTGAACAAAAGTTCATCGGATGATCTGGAAAAAAGTATGATTTCGAAACTTAAAACCGAATGTGGCTGCCAATTTACATCGAAATTGGAAGGAATGTTTAAAGATATATCATTATCAAATTCATTGAATGATGAATTCAAAAATCATGTTCTCAATCATAGAGTAAGCAATTTTTAACTTGACTTATTTTAACTATTCAATGTTTTAATTTTGTTTTCTCTTTCCATTTCCATTCACTAGCTCAATCTTCAAGGTGTTGACCTTACTGTACGTGTTTTGACCACTGGTTTCTGGCCAACACAATCAAATTTTTTCCAATGCAATATTCCTATGATTCCTCGACAAGCTTTTAAACATTTTGATAATTTCTATCTGAACAAACATAATGGAAGAAAATTGACATTACAACCACAACTTGGTTGGGTTGATTTGAATGCCGAATTCTATACATCAGTGAAAAAATCTAACAATAATGATGAAATGAATAAGAATGTTGTGGCCAAATTGGACAATACTGTTTCATCATCGGCACCAAATGCAAATGTAAACAATGGATTATCATCATCATCATCATCATCGATACAATGTACAATAAAGCCACGAAAACATATACTGAATGTATCAACCTATCAGATGGCCGTTTTAATGTTATTTAATAATCGTCGTAAATTAACATATGAAGATATTAAAAATGAAACTGAAATTCCACCAAAAGATCTTATTCGTGCTCTACAATCATTGGCAGTTGGTAAATCATCGCAACGTGTCCTGTTGAAAAATCCAAAGACAAAAGAAATTGGTAATTATATCGCGATAACTAATTTAAATGAATTTTTCTTATTAATCAATAATTATGATCATGTAGAGCCCAATCATGAATTTGAAGTGAATGATTCATTTACATCGAAATTTTTCCGAGTCAGAATTCATTCAAGTAAGAGGGTTATCTGTTTACTTGTATAAAATTGATTTATATAAATTTTGTATCCACATTATTGTACAGTATTGGCGAAAGGTGAATCCGAACCAGAACGACGTGAAACACGATCAAAAATTGATGAAGATCGTAAACACGAAATTGAGGCTGCTATCGTCCGTATAATGAAAGCTAGAAAGAAATTATGTTTTGCTAATATTGTTGCCGAAGTAACTGAACAATTGAAATCACGATTCATTCCAGATCCACAATCAATTAGGAAACGAATCGATGGCTTAATAGATCGTGAATATTTGGCCAAAACACCAGATGATAAGTACGTATATCGAATTTATATTATAATCACGTGTCTTTAATTTCATCTTTTTTTTGTTCTTAAACAGACGAGTATACACATATGTGGCGTGAATATTATATTTTTAATTGATTGATAAAATTTAGAAAATCAATTTGTATTTTTATCATTTTTTAAAGGAAAAAATAAATAAAAAAAATTTCAATTGTATTTTTTTTTTCTAATCCGAATCTTCTGAATCATATTTTTGATAAAATTTTCTTGATGCATACATTTGTTTACGGGGATCTTCTTCTAATGTTGTTTTTATAGCACCAGTTTTGGCTACAATCCATTCAACTTCTGTAATGTTGGAAAAAATCAAATCAATTGATTCATCATTAAAAAATTCATTTACCTTCTTTGGTGATCGATTCCATGCCAAATACAATCGGTCCAATTAATTGTTTGACTAGTTGACCATTTAAGTAGACAAAAACGGCTGGTAAATTATCATCCGGAAAATTTGGTATACATTGTGTGGCTATACTTTTTAGAAATTTTGTTTCGATAAATTTTGATGCCAATTCTTTGAATATATCTTGTAGTTGTCGACATAATGGATGCCTATCAAATAAATAAAATTGGTTGTAATTAAATGCTGAATTCGATGAATGATATAGTAGTGAAAAAATACCCTTGACGATATAATAAAAGTACAACCCATATACCATCACCAGCTTTATTCACTTCTTGAATATAATCAGCACCGGTTATTTCCAAAACTTCACCAAAACATTTTTTCGATGCTTGTAGTTGCATTTCCATAACACGTTTATTACGATAATTTCGTATAAAATCATCATCATCTTCATGTTCATCAAGCCATTCTAATTCATCATCACTATTGGATGGTTCATATTTTTTCGTTTCAACAATTGGTTCCGGTTCAATTTCTTCTACTTTTGGTTCATCTTTAATAATACCATATTTTTTCAATGCATCAGTCCATTCAGTATCTTCCTATGGATATTAAAATAAAAACAAAACAAATTCAATCAAATTTTCCAACAACAGAATTTTGCATACCATTTTATTTAAGAATTTAAGAAATGAACGAATAAAAATGTGTTCACACCGAAACGAAACAGAAAGGCGTTGTTTAAGAATTCTTGTAAAAACAAGGAAATAATTTGAAAAAAATCGCTAAAAATAGAATATTTTCACTCTCATGGCAAAAAAATATCGATTCTATCGCGATTGGTCATAACATAATTAACAGGGTGTGTGTTTATTAATGCATGCATTTACAACACACGGTTCTAATCGAATGTTTGTCTATCTGTTTATCATGATTCATATATTGGCGCCATCAATTAATCAATAAAAAAAAATTCGCAACCTTTTAATTGCAATATATTTTTGGCATCACATCTTTTTTTTTAATTTTGTCTTGATTAATTTCTAAATTCAGTCTTTTTTAATGATCATTAAAATGAATACGATTATAAATACCGCCACCATAATCATCATGATGATGAATAAATGGGGTCAGTTTAATTATGTTTTCAAAATAAAAAAAAATCGCATTTGGCTCAATAAAAATCTCATTTCCCTTTCGTCGCGAATGGCTCACTTTCACTTGACCATTCCATTTTATTTTATTCTGATGATGATAAGAAAAGTCTGTAATTGAACACCTAATAAAATGAAGAAAAAAGTCTTTTTTTTCGCATCAATCACGAAAACAACAATTATTTTCAATACGAAAAAAAAGAGACGACGTATCAAACAAACAAGTTGTGGATTTTCATCGAAATTATTGGATCGTGAAAAGAAAAACAGACAGACACGCACGTAAGTAACATGGATTTGATTTTCATTTATCATGGACCATGAGAAAATGTGAAACATTTATTTTTTCTCATTTCTTAAATTTCAGGAGATCTCTCTCTCTCTTTTTGTTGTGAATCACTTTCTCTTTGATAATTTTTTCTCACATTAAAATAATGTCATAGCATTTCGTGTTTGATTTCATTTGAGCCATTTTTATCGTCATCTTCATCGTCTTTGTTGTTGTTGTTGTTGTTGATATCTGTTCATCGTCATCATCAATAATAAGCCAAAGTAAGACCGAATATTGTTGTCACCAGTAAACTTTATTTTATTTGTAATTTTTGACATTTTTTTTCTCATCATTTAATTTTTCTTTCATATTCAAACACACAAACACACACACAACTATTATTATCATCCATCTCTTTTCACATTTATTGTTTCGTATACGAATGGATTGTGTTTTTTGTTTCTTTCATTCATTCTACACCAAGTATGTCTATCTTTCTATTTGTTTGATTTCATTGATTGACTTTAGTTTTTTTTTTGAATTTTTTCCGTCTTTATATAGTTATCTAACCGACAGTTATTTAACCAGATGATGATGATGATGATGAAATGACCGAAAATCATCCTTTTTTGTTATAAAAGGATAGTAAATGTAAATATCAATCATTTTAATATCTGGTCAACTAATACTACATTTGCATTTCAACAAAGACAATAATTTGAAAAAAATCGACCCATATGATGATGAATCGCCATCGTACATTGACCAATAGTTTTCATGAACAATTGGATAATATAAAATCGACTAGCCTACCACAAATGAAACAGTTTATACAAAAGTAAGTCAAGTCAGATGTTTTTTTCTGAAAAAAAAAAAAATTTTTTACAACAGAAGAATAGCTAAATGTAAAATTCCAACAATTAATCGTATGATGAAACGATCATTGATGACCGGTGGTTATTCATCATCGAAAACTCTTACCAAACATTCCGAAAGTGATTATGAATTTGGTTGGGGTTCCGATTTTGATGACGATGATAATGATGATGATTTTGACGATGAAATTGTGGATGATGAAGGAGTGTATGAAATCGAAAAATTAACAAATTCGAATCAGGTAAAGCGAACATTGATTTTTGACAATGATTCATACCCATGTCTTGAATGTGTTTGTAGGATGATTTACAATTCAATGAACAAAATGACAAAGAAATGTTCAAAACATCACCCATTTCAAGGTATCATATATATACGATTGATTATGATGGTTAATTTGTCAAAATGAAAATAATTTAATCAATTAGACATACAAGACGACCAATTTCGGATCCTCCACCACCACCATTACCAAAATGCCCACCTCCAGATTTATTGGAAGAGGCCATACTATTGAATTCAGCTACAAGTTCAAAAGATAATTTCTATGAAACATTATCGGCAAAGATGGACAATTGTTCACAAATCATTGACAATAGTGATTATCTAATGCCAAACATTCCATTAAGATCAAGTGATAAGATTAAACCTGGTTTTCGTTCTAGTCCAAATATTACATCGGGTAAAATGTTGAATAATCATTTTAAAAATTAATATATTAATAATAATTTATTAATTAGTGACAGATCGTCCATTACCACCGATACCGAGATATCAATACATTCAAAATGATGATATATTTAAAAATCATCCATGGTTTCTGGATATTGAACGTGATGAATCAGAAATCCTATTACGTAGATGTAATATTAATGGTGGATTTCTGGTACGAAAAAGTAAACGTGCCGGCATTTGTATGCCATACACATTGACATTATATTTTAATCATCGTATATTTCATTTAAATATTCGTATACGGCCTGATCAACAATTCGCATTAGGAACTGAAAAACTAAAAGAAAAGGTAAGAAAAAAAATTTCCATTTCATCAATTATCCATTATATTAATAATATAATAATTATTTAGACATTTCGAACGATAGCCGATTTAATTGAACATCATTATCATGAGCCAATTTATTTAACATCAAGAGGTAATGATCATTCTATCTTTCTTTCTATTCATTCTCTAATTCAATTCATTGTTTTCAATTAATGATATATCAGGAATGATTGCTGGCAAAACTACATTGATCTCGATGCCATTTGGTTACCAATAACATACGCTATAATACACTATACATTCATCGTTTCCGCTGTACATGCATGCATGTAATTATGATCATGGACGACGAAATGATAAAATTTCATTTGACAATTGTATATCATCATCATCATGAGCATTAATGACGACAATTTATATTCACATTTGCTATATATTCAATTTCCTTTTTAAAAAAATATATACTAAGCAACAACAAAGTTTAGTACATCCAACCCAATTTGTTGCAGTGCATTATTTAATAATCCCATCATAATTAAAGATGTGAACAAATATTCGAAGAAATCAAAGATGTCAAATAACAACCAAGAAACAATTACAAGCCAAATATATCATGTTCAAGTTATTGAAACAGATGCATCGATCCGTTGTGGCCTTAAACCATTCACCATATATCGTTTAATTATTGGATCAAATCAATTACAATTGAAAGCTGATCATAATAATAAGGATGATGATCGATTGAATGTATTGTTTGAATGGCCTTATAAATATGTAAGACGTTATGGTTATACAAGTAATAGTATATCATTTGAAGCCGGATCTAAATGTCAGACTGGTGAAGGATTATTTATATTTCGTAATAAAAAATCAAAAATTTTATACAATCAGATTACCAACAATATTGATAGGATAAAACGACAAAAGAAATCATCGTCGATGATTGCCGATGATGATTTGATTGTTGTTGTCAATGATGATGATAATAATAATAATAATAATGCAAAACGACAACAACAATGTTCATCATCATCATCATCATTATCAAACCATCTTTTGCTGTGTCGGCAACAACGCCAAGACAAGAATAAACCGATAGTCTGCGAATCGTCAACAATCATCAATGATGATGATGATGATGATGATGAAAACGATCGGCAAAAATCAAATCTAATTGAACAGCAACAACAACAACAACAACAACAACAAATACCTCATCTATTGATTAATGATTGTCCATATGCACAGGTCATTAAAAATGATCGAGGAAAAATTTTTTGAATAAAATTTAATTTCAATTTTAATTATATTATATAATATAATCTTTATTTTCTGGTTTCAAAATGCATAATTCGAACGAAAAAAAAACGTCAGCATAACACAAACATAATGACACAACACAATTTTGATCCGATTTAGAATTAAGATTTGGCCATGATTCAAAAAACAATGATTTTTTTTCTTTTTTTTGAAAAATAATGCGTAATTAAAAAATCTAGAACAAAGAAAAGTAAAAAATAAACATTTTCAAGTTTCACATCTCTTTATGTGAAGCATGATTCAATGTGTGATACATTTTTTGTGAGAGAAAATTTTTTTCTCGCATTTTCAAACATTTGAACTTTGAACTTTGAATCACGTAAGCAAAAAAAAAAAAAAAAAAAAAATTATATTGACCGCATCAGCAGAAACGAAATTATGATGATGAGATCAACTAATCTAATCGAATCAATCGATCAAGCCAATTGAAGAAAAAAAATGTGGCAATTTTTTTTATCGCTGATCGAATTGAATTGATGTGATGAACAACATGTTTTAGTTGTTATTATCAAATTAAATTGTCAGTGTTGTTCGTGTCTATTCGTCGAACATGATGATGATAACATTTCATCGAAAAAAAAAAACATGATAATCTATGTAGTATGATGGTGATAGTTGATCAATTTAAAATTGATTATGTTTAATTGATTGATTGGAAACCATATCCATTTTATTGTTGGTAATGGCGTTTGTTTGTCTTCAATGATAATGTTTCGGTTTTTTTTTCTTGGCTTCTACATCCATTATTATCGATTCGAATCATTTTTCATTTCACAGTCGCTATAACGCTGCCAAATTGAACAAAAAAAAAATTTTTCTTTTTCTCATAATTTTTTTTTAGTTTTTAGTTTTTCGAATCTAGCCAGCCTCAAAAAATACAATGCGTTCCATTTTGCTTTCGTCGATATTTTTGCTCATATTTTCTGGTTCCTGTTTGGCCATTCTTGGTATGTATTTTTTTTTTAATTTTTCCATATCTGGTTTATGAATGAATTTTTATTTTTTTCCCAATGATCATAGATGCATTCACAGATGGTTTGGATCTTGGAGGATATTCATTACCACGTAGTGTTAATAATTATGAACTTCATGATTCATGTTTAATTGAACTACGAAAACAGATGAATCTTGAAAAACATGCTAGTCTTGTCTATAAACAGATGGCATTTCATTTTGGTAGCGTAAAAATGGCCAGACCTGGATTTTCAAAAATTTTTGAACATCATTCCACTGAAGAACATGAACATTCGAATAAATTCATCAAATATATTGATTTACGTGGCGCTACAATCGGAAGTTTTAATATAACGGTAATATTTGATGATTCATGTTCGTAAATTATCAACAATTTATCGAATCTACCGAAATAGATGCCACATAAAACATCATGGTCTAAAGCATTGGAAGCGGTTGAAGATGCAATCGAATTGGAACATTTTGTTACAAATGAAATTATCCGCATACATCGTATTGCCGAAAAAACCTGCAAAGATGTTCATGTAAATTGCTATTGATTTGTTGTTTTTTTTTGGGTACAATTAATTAATCTATTTTTTTCAATAATTCAAATTTAGCTGATGAATTTTCTGGAAAATGATTTCATTGAAGAACAAATTTCATCGATTAATAAATTAATGAAATTGGCAACATTATTACGATCGGTTGGCGGTAACGATGGTGGTTATGGTGAATATCTTATTGATCGTGATTTCTTCAACGGCAAATTATCTTTAGACGAACTTTGAAGGACATGCAAAACGCCCATCGTATCATTCGATTGAGGTTTTTTTTGGTTCTTTTTAATAAATTTTTGTTTTCGGTTTTTTAGATCAATTGACCTTTATTAATAAAAAAAAAGAAAAATTATTGATTAATCGATTGATTTGACAATAAAAACTCACGACGATTCGTTTTTTGGGTCGTTGTTGTTGTTTCCAATTTTGTGATTACATAATGAATGAATGTTTTTTTCTTGGATCAACTATGTTAGACACCTAAGAACAGGAAAGAAAATCGATAAGAATCAATCGACCAATGAAGGAAAATTCAATAACAGTTATTTGTGAATACATTGCATGTTGAATAAAAATTTTACATATTCGATTCAAACAGAACTGTTCTAGCGTTTTGTTTGTTGGGTTTCGCAATGAAAACCTTAAACTGGCCATCGGCCAGTATGGGTCATTCATCGTCATCTTTATTATTTATCATTATATCATTGTTAATAATTATAATGATCGATCTACCAGGTTCAACATCATTTACAATGAGAATTGGTATGTTTTGTTATACGGTAATTGTTTTGATAATTTTTTTGAATTTTTATTTTGTTTTATCTTTTTAAATAGCATTCATATTTGATCAATCAAATTCATCAACAATGGTGGAATTTGAACATCAACTACGACAATTTAATCCAATCAATGAAACGGTTTCATTCAATTTTGATTACTATAATCGTTTGGATGAATTTGTTAATGAAACTGAAACAGGTTTTTGATGATGATAATGATTTTTGTTATGTGTTATGTGATCGTTGATTTTCTCATTGCAAATAGATTGTCCATATTCATTCGTAATGGCAATGGCATCATGTGAACAAAATTCCAAATTATATCGTCATCTACGAATTCATTGCTATGGATCAATCCTGTTTACATTCTTTGAATCAATCTGTGAACGACCACCAAAAGATATTGGATTTGGAATACCGAATATTCGATCGGCAAATGAAATCTTACCATTGATTTATGATGTTGGTCTAGTATTGCCTGAATCATCGAAACAAATTATCATTTTGTATGAAAATAATCTAGGTATGATTCGATTCAAATGATCAATGAACTGATTCTATTATTATTACCCAAATATAGATTTATATGATTTTCATCGATATTTTCATAAATCAATGACAACGAAAACTTTAGAATACAGGTTGGAACCAGAAATCGGTACTAACGAACGTTTAACACGATCAAATGAAGAAATTATCAACGGTTTCAACGTCGATATTGATTCACCAACATTTTTCATTGTTATTGGACGAATGATTTTATTGGAAAAAATAATTCGAACATTAAAATTATCATCATTGAGTAATCGTCAGAATAAATGGACATTTATTATCACCGATAATCAAGATGTTGATAAAAATAATAGTAATAATGTGGATACGACATTCATCGATATGTCATCGGAAACAAGAGAAAAACTTAGCGTTTCCGATGTATTTCTCATACACAATCAATCAAATAGGCAATGTTTTCTTTCACGTATGAATGATTATATTCAAACCGATATACTACATGTGATAAACAAAAGTATTCAAAATGTATTCGATCCAAAGACTATACATACATTCATAAATGGTACAGCAAGTAAAAGGATTCAGATAAAAAATCGATTAATGTCCGATATAAAGGTAAAACCTCAAACAAATTAATAGGACCATATTTTAAGGCAAATTTCCTATTTTTTTACAGATTTCATTAGATTCAAGTGATTTTGGTCAAGATTGTCATACATATGTGGTGGAAAGTTTATTTCGTCATCGTACTAATGATCTGGTGGATGAACAAAAAGGCATCGTACAGATCAATAATAAAGGTGTTAAATATGAAATTCATACACAAACACACGGTACATGGAATGTATTCAAAGGTTTACTTACTGATGGCCGTGATGGTCCATTTAGACCGGCTGTTGTTGATTATAAAAATCGACCACTTAAAATCGGTATCGTACATCAACCACCATATGTACAGATAACAATGGTGAACGGTACACAAGATATAAAAGGAACAAATTATGAAATGATTCTTGTGATTGCGGCAAAAATGAATTTTACACCTGTTTATACCGTATACGATACAATGGGATCATTGCAAACCCAGAATGATTCTTTGAAAAATTTAATTCAAAAAGTAAGCGAAGGTGAAGTAGAAATAGGAGCAAATGGTTATTGGAAAACAATGGCTAGTTTTAAAATTGCTGATTTCACCTATCCATACGATATGGAAGATATTAGTATTGTAGTGAGAAAAACTGATGAAGATCATCGATTTCTATTTCTGGCACCATTTGCATGGGATGTAAGTTTTTCTTTAAAATCCATCTAATAAGTTTAAAATTTAAAAATTTGAAATGTTAATGTTTCAGGCTTGGTTATGTTTATTAATGATTGTCATAATGATTGGACCAACACTTTGGCTTGTTCATCATTCAAGTTGTTATTATGAATATTATAAACTAAAAAATGGTCGTGGTCTTTTCAAATTGGGAAATTGTGTTTGGTATTGTTATGGTGCATTAGTCAATCAAGGTGGTGATTATCTACCATTAGCTATTTCTGGTAGAATTCTGGTAGCATTCTGGTGGCTATTTGTAATCGTAATCTATACAACTTATAGTGGAAATCTCGTTGCTTTGCTTACGTTTCCGAAGATATTTAATCCAATAGAAAATCTAGATGATCTTTTGTCACAGAAAGGCAGCATCAAATATGGTGTATTTAAATCACGTGGTGTAGCCGATCTGATACTTGATTCACCGGAAAATCGAATTCAAATGTTGGCCGATAATCTGGAATATTTTGAAGATTCCGAAACTCAAATAGTATTCAATATGGTTAAAGATTTGAAACTGGTTCTACTATCACCGGATCAAGAGGCTAAACTTCTAATATCACAAGAATATCAACAATCTAATTATCAGGATTGTAAATTGCGCATAGCAAAAGAACCATTGACAACTAAACCAGTTTCATTTTTATTACGAAAAAATCTGGAAGAAAATTTTGTCCTTCGTCTTAATCATGAGTAAGTTTGATTTATTTTTCGCACAATTTTTTAAAATTTGTTTAAAATCAATTAGAATGGGTCGTATGGCTAAATCCGGATTGGTTACCTTATGGAATCGTAAATACAATGTTAAGGGTAATAATTGCCTGTATCCATTAGTCATGCGAAACTCGCAAGGTAAAGAAATACAATTATCACATATGATCGATTGTTTCTTTCTGCTTGGATGTGGTTTGATCATCGGTATCGCTGTGTTGATTGTCGAAATGATCAAACAAAGACAGCTACCAATTTCAATGAAAAATAATCCGAAAGCAAAAGAATCGACATCATTAATGAATAAGATGAATATGAATAAATTACGTTCATTATTTCATAAAATACAAAATGGTTTCCGTAATGGATTCTATGAAGATCTGGATCGACCAAAACAACCACTACAATTATCAGCCAATGATCCAATGACATCGATGATGATGGTCAAACCAACAGCAGCAATTGGTCGGCCAGCATATTTTACCTACAATACTAATTATTACAATAATATCATTCGTGACCAATTTAATCGTAACCTAAATGATTACAGTAGTGATTCAACATCATCATATAGAAAAGAATGGAATAAAACCTTTCGTCGTCAACAGAAATTGTATTATTTCCAGAAAAATCTAGATAACCTTCCCAAAAGAAATCCAATGTCATATTCACGAAAACAACCAACAACACAAAAATATTGATTTATATTATCAAAATAGCAAAAAAAAAAAAAAAAAAAATACATTTATGTTGATTAATTGATGAAAAAAAATATTTGAATATAATGAATGCATGTTCCATTTACAAGAAAAATATGATTAAAAATGTTAGATATATTGAATCGATTAAATCGATCTATATTAATCGATTGTGTGAATGTGTGTGTGTGTGTGTGTGTGTTGTAATTCGAATTCATGGACGGAACTTTGAACGATTTATTGATTGTCAATTGTCAATACATGAATTCAATGTTATAGTGATCAGAATTTCATTAGGAGATTGTACGATTCATAACACAGCTATTGTGAAATGGTGCGACAAAAATGTTTGCAAATTATAAATTGATTCTAATCCTTTTGGTGTTTATATTGAAGATTAATACATCTAAAACGAATCGATTTAAAATTGGTAAGCCAAAAAGTATTATTATGTGTGTGCTGATAAAATTATAATAAAATTTCTATTATCAGTTATCATTAGTGATGATTTACAAAATAATCGAACTCTTTCAAGTATTGAAGGATTAAAATCAGCAAATGGAAATTTTGATACAGAAATCATTGAATTATCATCGGGTATGAATGATGGTCAATTATGTGAAAAATTGTTCGCCACATCGATACAATCACAATCTGTGTACTATTATCGATTACCGATATTTGGTCTTGATTTAAGTGAATCGATTACCGGTAAGATTATGGCACGAAAAATGGGTATACCAAGTTTACGAGCCGGTACCTGGGCACAAGCACAACAGGATAATTTAGCATGGAAAAATTTGAATGAAATTGAAGAAAATCTATATGTTTCGGTGCTCACACCAGAAGCAACCATATTACAGCTAATCAAAGATTTATCTGAACAATTTCAACTTAAACATATTGTCATCATTTATGATCAAACATTCAGTAAGCAAATTGAGAATTTTAAATTTGGTTCAATTTTTTATTAACATTTGTCATTTTGTTTTGTTTCGTTATATAGAGAAAGCCATTGGTGGTCATGTATTTAAAAATCTAAAACATAAAGAAATCTATTGGTCATCAATGATTAATAATAAAACGATTGAAAAAACATTGGATGATTTAAAATATAACTATCAATATGGGGAAACATTTTTCATTTTAGGTTCCATTTCAATGTTAAACCGACTTGTACAAATGGTATGTGTGTGTGTGTGTGTATGGGTGTATGTTCTGAAGATTTCAAAGACAGAATCAAATTCATTTTCTATAACAGGCTCATCATCGATCAATGTTACGTGGACAACGAAAATGGTATTTCATTTCCAAGGTAATTCATTGATTCATTATGAAAATCAATTAATGAAATACTCTCATGAAATGATCTTTCTCTTTTTTTGCCTGACCAGGAAAAAGGCCGATTTCAATGTGATAATTGTAATGATGTAAAGGTGTTCCTTTCACAACCAATAAAATCACATCTACATCATTATGAATATGATACACCGGAAAATCTAACATCGGATATTCATCATATTGTAGATAATTATTTCTATTATGATCTTTCACGTTTCTATGCGGAAACAATTGATCATATGTTACAGAGTACAAGGCAGTTATTATCGAATGAAATTACCTATCCATCATGTGGTAAACATCTGAATGAACCACAATTGAATGAACGACGAAATTTGAATCTTTATGAAACATTAGCTACACGATTTATGTATGGCCTATTTGGACAATTCATATTCGATCATAATGCTAAACTTAATTATCAAGAATTAAGTATGCGAATCAATGAAATTGAATTTCAAATGGGTAAAGTGAAACAGGTGAAAAAAGTTGCCGAATGGGAATTCGAAGGACAATTTGGTCGATTATATTTTACATCACCACAAGAACGAAAAGAACAGGATGGATTACCTCATTATGAGATTATTACAATAGTGGTAAATTGTTTTATATGGACAAACAAATCGATTAGTTAGTAATCGATCTACTAATGATTATCTATTTCAATTTTCGTGTATAGGAAGCACCATTTGTAATGATAAAAGATGATAATCAAACAACAGGAAATGATAGATTCTATGGCTATTGTATTGATTTATTGAAAGAAATTGTCAATAGTAGTGATTTCAAATTTGATTATACATTACGTGTGGTTGATGATGCAATGTATGGCCATAAAAATGAAAACGGTGAATGGACCGGTTTGATTGGTGAATTACATCGAAAAAAAGCCGATATAGCATTGGCACCGATTTCTGTAATGGCTGAACGAGAAATTGTTGTCGATTTTACCGTACCATATTATGATTTAGTTGGTATAACTATACTCATGAAGAAAACTACAACGAAATCACATTTATTTAAATTTTTAACCGTACTCGAAACCAAAGTTTGGTTATGCATCTTGGCCGCATATTTTTTTACAAGGTTAGCATAAAAAAAATTGAATGTTTAAATCTAGAGAAATCAAAATTATCACCTATTTTGTTTATAGTTTTTTAATGTATCTTTTCGACAGACTTAGCCCATACAGTTTTCATAATAATCGAGAAAAATACAAAAATGATGAAGAACAACGAGAATTTACGCTGAAAGAATGTCTTTGGTTTTGTATGACATCATTGACACCACAAGGTGGTGGTGAGGCACCAAGAAATCTATCCGGTCGATTAGTTGCTGCCACTTGGTGGCTATTTGGATTTATCATTATAGCTTCATATACAGCTAATTTGGCTGCCTTTTTGACCGTATCTCGATTGGATTCACCCATTGAAAATCTTGATGATTTAGCTAGACAATATAAAATTAAATATGCACCACAATCAGGCACAGCCACATCAACTTATTTCGAACGAATGGCCGGAATCGAGGAAAAATTTTATGAGTATGTATGGAAAACAAATTGAAAATTGATAAACTTCTTACCTTCTTGTTTGTTTATTTCGCCGATCCTCAAATCATACAATAAGAATATGGAAAGATATGTCATTAAATGATAGCCTTAGCGATGATGAACGTGCAAAATTGGCCGTATGGGATTATCCGGTAAGCGATAAATATACGAAAATTTGGTCACAGATAATTGAGGCTGGAATGCCAGCAACATTTGCCGAAGCAATTGAACGTGTGAAAAAAAGTGATACAGCCGGTGAATCATTTGCTTTCATAGGTAAGTTTCATCACTTGTCTTTATTAAGGAAATCAATTAATTCTTTTTTTTGAAAAAAAGCTGAATCAACATTGGTAAAATATGCTGTCATGACCAATTGTGAGCTACAAAGTGTTGGTAATGAATTTAGCCGTAAACCAATTGCATTGGCTGTTCAACAGAATTCAGATTTAAAAGATAAGCTAAGTAGCGCCATATTAAAATTATTGAATCAAAGACGATTGGAAAACCTAAAAGAAAGTTGGTGGAATAATAATGATGCAGTGAAAAAAGAATGTCAAGATTCACGAAGACAAAGCGATGGTATCAGTATCAAAAATATTGGCGGCGTATTCATTGTCATATTTATCGGTGTTATATTGGCTTGCATTACATTAGTCATTGAATATTGGTATTTTAAGAAAAAAGAATCCAAAGTTATCACGATAAATGAAGGTAAAAAATCGAAACATTTCGGTAATAGTGCCGTACCGGATCTAAGCGCCGATTTCAATATCAATCAAGAACGTATGATGAGACAATTGCGTTCGACACGTAATTTCAACAATTTTGTTCATCATCATTATTAAAGCAATCAATTAATATATATCAAAAATGTACTTTAAAATTTGAAATTCAATTTATTCAATAATAATTCACATAAATTGCTGTTTTTAGGTCTAGATTAGATTAGATTATCATACATAATAATGATAATGATATATATGAATTTGAAATGTTAATTATTAAAATTCAATTCAATTATTATTGATTGACTGAAGATTATTATGAAGATTATGATTATTATTATTATTATTAAAAGCAATGAGTTCATTATCAACATTTTTTAATAACCAATTATGTTCACAGATTTCTAATGCTTCCCATTCGGCTTTAAATGCCTGTTTAGAATCGGCTGGCATTGACATTGCGGCACCAAACATTTGATCTTGCATTATACGACTTTGATCGGCAGCATTATTTTCACCCAAGACTAGCATATATATTGAACGTAAACCGAATACATTTAGAAAATACCATGATGCCGAAGATACCCATGATGCATCCAATGACAAAAGTTCAATACCACGCTGTAACATTGGTTTAAAACGTAATGTTAACGGGAAAGGAACTTTGGTCGTAACGAAACCAGAAAATGTCCAATTGATCCAACCACCAATCAATATCATGGGCAATACGTTCGTTATGTTTCCTTTCAACATATCGGTCATCATTGATGGATCGGTCATTGGATTTGGTGGTGTCGAATTCCTTTTTTGACCTTCTTTAAAATAGCCATTCTCTTCATTATTGAAGAAATGTTTTCGCATCAAAAATGACTAAGAATAAGGAGAATTAGAATATAATATTTGTAAAAAAATTTCCCACGAATAACTTACCTGTTTGGGAATGTATTTACCATTTTCTCTTAGCAATCGACTACGAATCATAGCTTGACTATCGACTACTTGCTGTAATTCGATTTTTTTATTTGAATGAAGCAATATCGATACATAATGACGTAGAATGCCAACAAAAAATGTAATAATAACAATGGGTAAAAACACCCATACCCGAATATCGGGATCGAGTAAAAGATCATCGGACATTGTTGTTTTTCGTTGAATCAAATGGAGAATAAAATAGCGAAAAAACGATGATCATCCAGAAAAAAAAATAAACAAACAACGAGGTAGAGCCGAAACGAGTCGAAATAGTCGAGTTTGCCAACTTGTCAAATTGGAATTTTAATTTTTGAAAAAATTGTTTCAATCATCACATTTCAACCAGTGATAAATCAAGTAATCAAATCACTTTCAAACAACAAAGTTTTATTTTATTTCATATTAATATTCAGCAAACAAGATTTTTTCAAATAATTATTAATCAATGTTTAACAAGTGACAAAAAAATCACACAAAAGACAAACACAGAAATAGAGAAGATTAAATACAAAAAACGAAAAAAAAAAAAATTCATCATCAAAACATCAACAACATTCAATATTTGTGGACCAAATTGTATATTTTGTGTTTGATTAAATTATCATTATTTGGTAATTGTGGTAATTAGTGGCGGTGATGGTTGGGCTTTACAAACGTCATGCAATTTTTTTTGGTTTGGTGATAAATTATTGAGAGAAGAGTAGTGAAGAATAATTTCATTTTACAACAGTTAATGTTTCAATAAAAGTGTATGTATGTGAAAAATCCAAGAAAAAAAGACAAACAATTCAATTTGGTTCCATTATACCCGTCGGTTCGACTGTTTGTAACCAATTCAATACGAATTTTTCTTTATCTTTTTTCGTAAATTTAACCTCATTTTGTTCATAATTAACAACATTGATTAGAATGTCTCCGGTTGTATATTCTTCCGGTGGATAATCATAGCTCATCATTTTAATCGGTTTCATTATTATATCTGAACTAATTTCATCAATATTTGTTAACTCGGTTTCAGTCAATGTTTGTTGATTGCCAATCACTTTGATAAATTCATTCAATCGTCGTTTGATAGCATCATTAATAACTTTACGATTCATTGATTTGGCTAGATCTAGATCGGAAAATATCAACGATGAATTTAGCTGCCGAAATGATTGTGCCTGTGGTGATGGTAATTGTGATGAATTTACCGTATCACCACAAATAGCCAATGTTGAACATGAATATGTTATATAGTCTTTTATACATTGTTTATCATTCATATTGATGAAACGATAATAATCGATTAGATTACAATCGGATAGATATTTTCGATTATTATTATTATTATTATTAATCATTGATGATAATGGTGGTGGTGATGAACACCATGATGATGATGATGGTCCATGATGATGATGATTAATAATAAAATTATTATTATCCCAAATTTGACCACCACCACCACTATTCGCTGTCATTATATCGGCTGTAGAAAAACTTTTCATACGAATCCATCGATGACCATCGATAATTTGTGTATAACATTTCAATTTATCTTGATTATAATTATCATCGAAAAAATCTTTTACATCAATTAAATTTCCGGCTTTTGTTGTTGTTATTGTTTTTATTATTTGATTTTCATTGTTATAATTATCATTCGTATTACTTGATGTTGTTGTTGTCGTAATTATAAAAGACGACGATGATGATGGTGATGGTGAAATTCTTTTCGATTCTTGTCCAGGTATCTGTAATTGAGAACATTTTGTTATTCTTGTGGCATTTGTTGATGATGTTGTTGGTGTGGACAATTGATTTATATTGCTATTTGGTTGTTGTTGTTGTTGTTTTGGTAACATTTTGTTTAATTGTAAATGAATTTCAATTAAATTAGATTCCTTAATCCATTTGGTTTTTAGCTATGATGATGATGATATTCAGATCAGATCAGGCGATAGATAAATTTTCGTTGTAGACTTTATCAACCATAAAATACAACAATAACAATGATGTCAATTTGATGGTCTATATCTCTCTCTATTTTTCTATATAATAATTATCATCATCATCATCATCAATGTTGGGAAAAAAAAATTTTCTCGGTCCTAGCATTTGGGCGCTAACACTCTATATCTAGTGTGTCTAGGATGTGTGCGTGTGTGTATGTCGAATGTTTGTGTATTCATCGAATTCTTTTTCTTGGCGTTCGAAATATATAACAACGAATATCTATGAAATGTTTGTCTTGGGCCATTTCGATTCTGATTCTAACATTCTTTTTTTTTTTTTTGCACAATCGCATGAATAACACACAAAATTACAATGTTTTAATCATTGTTATTCCATTTTTTTTCATTCATTCATTCATTACCCTCATGAATTCCGCGAGAATTTACAAAATTTAATGTTTTCAAAATTTTTTCACTTTTTCCATTTAAAATTATTATTATAATCAACCTTTCAATCAAGTGCAAATTGATTGATTTGCTTTTCATCGATAATGATAAGATAATCCTTATCATTGGAAAAAAACCATAGATTTTTCTCTGTGATAATATCAATTTTTTTGCAAATAACTTGGTATCTATCTATCAAAATATAATCCTATTGTATTTCATGAAACGAAATAAAAACTAGACAAGATATGTGATTTATGATATTTTTTTTTCATTTTTCACAGTGAAACAAAAGGCAAAAAAAAATGTTACTAAATAATCTGGATGATTATATGAAAAAATATCCGAATAAACGACCGGATATTATTCAACAATATGGTACGGCTGGTTTTCGGAACAAGTATGTTGTTATGAAAATTTTTTCTATTAATAATTATATAATAAACACAATTATATCCACAGAGCTGATACATTATTTCATGTAACATTTCGATCCGGTATTCTGGCAACGTTACGTTCACGATCTACCAATGGTATTATTGGTGTAATGATAACGGCATCCCATAATCCTGAAGAAGATAATGGCCTTAAAATTATTGAACCCGATGGATCAATGTTGGAACAATCATGGGAAAAATTAGCAACAAAAATTGCTAATATTCCGGATGATAATCTTGAACAATGCATTGCCGATATGGTTAAAGAATTAAACATAAACCTTAAAGATACCGTGGCTAAAGTCTATCTTGCACGTGATACAAGAAAAAGTAGCCCATCATTAAGTATTGCATTAATGGATGGAATCAAAGCTTGTCATGGTGAATTTCAGGACTTTGGATTGCTTACAACACCACAATTACATTATATTGTACGATGTGCAAATTCCAATGGTCAATATGGTGAACCAAGTGAAAAAGGTTATTATGAAAAATTAAGTCATGCATTTCTTCGATTAACCGAACATTCAAAACAACAAAAACTTCATCTAATTGTTGATTGTGCTAATGGAGTTGGTGCCCAAAAAATGAAATTGATGGCTCCATATCTTATAGAAAAAATTACATTCGATTTGATAAACATTGGTGATGGTACACTTAATCTTGGCTGTGGTGCCGATTTTGTCAAAGTTAATCAACGACAACCTGATTCAATCGAATTAAAATCTAATCAACATTATGTATCATTCGATGGTGATGCTGATCGAATTGTTTTCTATTATCGAAACGATCGAGATGGTAAATTTCATCTATTAGATGGTGATAAAATTTCCGCATTGGTGGCTAAATTTTTGCAACAATTATTGAATGAATCCGGTCTAAACAACATAGAAATGATTGTCGTACAAACAGCTTATGCAAATGGAAATTCAACTAAATATATTAGTGATACACTTAAATTGATCAGTGATTGTGTACCTACCGGTGTTAAACATTTACATCATCGTGCATTACAATCAGAAATTGGTATCTATTTCGAAGCTAATGGTCATGGTACGATTTTGTTTTCGGACAATGTACAAAAACAGATTGCCAAATGTTCGAATGAAAATGCCAAAAAACTTTTACATTTTATTGATTTAGTTAATCAGGTATATTGATTTAATTGTCGGACTCATTTTAATTATTATTATTATTAGACTGTTGGCGATGCAATATCCGACATGTTGATTGTCGAAGCAATTTTAGATAATTTAAATCTAACCATTGATGAATGGGATTCATTCTATCAGGATCTTCCGAATAAATTACTGAAAGTGGCTGTTAAAGATCGTAATGTAATTACGACAACTGATGCTGAACGTAAATGCGTAAAACCAGAAGGATTACAAATGGCAATCGATAAGGTGGTGGCCGAATTTGGTCCACAGGCACGATCATTCATACGACCATCCGGTACTGAAGATGTTGTTCGAATTTATGCTGAAGCTCAAACAAAAGAAATGGCCGATAATTTGGCTCGAAAAGTTGGAAATTTAGTCTATGATTTTGCCAATGGAATTGGATCAAAATTTTAATTTGAAAATTTACAATTAAAAAAAATCAATTTATTTTTTTTCAATGTCATTTATTGATTTTTTTGAAAATCAACTGAATAACCACCGGTTTCGGGATTTTTTACAAGTTTAAAGTTATCCGTTGAAAGACCGAATGGTTTGAGAACAACGTTGCCAAGATCTTTTAGTTTGGTTAACATTTCGGCTTTTAGTTTTTCATTTCGTTCATCGATTTGACATTTCAATTCTTGAATAATTGGCAGAATACTTTTATCATTGGGATTCAATTCGACGAAACGATTATAATCGGCCACACTTTCATCAAGTTTATCGGTTTTTCGATAAAGTTGAGCACGTCGTATTAGAGCTTTTGAATGTGAATCATTTATTGCCAATGCTTTATCACAATATTCGATTGCTTCATCATATAGCTGTAGATGATCTTTGGCTGCAGCCAAATTTGAATATAAAATTACCATTGTTTGCCGATTATCATCATCATCTTGATCGTGTGCCAAACAGATATCTAATCCATTTAGATAAAATCGAATCGCTTCTTCATAATTACCCAATTTAAACTGTTGATTACCTTCTATTTTCAAATCGATAATTTTCTGTTTTCTTTCCGTGTCATCGTTGGAAATTTCAGTTGTCAATTGTTCATGAGCTGTTGATTCTTGATTAGCCATTTGTGTTCGAGCATATATCAAAATTTTGACCGGGCAAAAACGAAAAGAAAGTTTAAATTAGAAGATATGATTCATTTAAAATGTCACACACACACACTGAACTTTGCATGCAATATAAACATGACGAAATAGGCAACACAAAAAACACTGTAGTGTTTAAATAGTCGAATGTGTGTGTCTGTATCAAAACAAAACAGAATCAAATTTCGCGCTTTTTGTAATAAAAATTCAAATTTGAAAACCAACAACTCGGAACTCTTGCTGAAAATATTTGTTATCCGATATCGACGATTGATTTATGTGACCCATAAATGAGTAGAGAAAAAAAATTGAAATGAATTGACCCGATATTTATCATCTCTTTGGATTTATTCTTGAGCAAACATATCAAATAACTTAGAAACAAACCAATTCAAAATCGGCCAAAGTCAGCAATAATTATGATCAATGATGATGAAGATCCATCCATATGTGTTTGACCATAAATGACCTGTCATTTCAAGAAGCTACCATTACCATCACTGAGTATGTTAATTTATAAAAGCCAAGTGTGTGTGTGTGTTTTCGTACAATAATAATTATCATCATTTTGTCAATTGATTAATGTTTAGCAACAACAACAACAACACACACACACACACACACACACATCGTTTTTATTATTAACGATATATTCAACAGAATTTATTTTGAATAACAAACTGGTATGGAACGAAAACGAAAAAAGAAAACAAAAAATTTATTGCTCACCGTTTATTATTGATTTATTTATCTGTCATAACAAATAATAAATATGATGATGAGATGAAATGAAAAATTCTTTCCACCAACCAAACAATCAACTGCCATATGTGTGTGTTTGTGTGTGTGTGTGTGTGTTGAACGAATTTCCAACCCCAAACAGATAAAGACAAATACAACACAGACCGACCGTCAGATGATAGAAAAAGAAAAACTGTCAAAAATATTTATCATTTTTTTTCCATCTATTCTTTCGTGTAAACAAAGTTGTCACACAAACAACAGAAAATCAAATTTCAAATATTTTTTTTCTTTCTCTTTTTTTTTGTTGCAAAGATTCTCAGTTTCTTCAATTTGCAATTTTTAATAATGAGCAAACATTTGTCTTGTCTTCTTGTCTATATATGCATGTGTGTAGTATTTAAAAATTTTAAATTTTTTTCCCGTCACTCATTGCTAAATGTGTTAATTATGAATTAGAAAAAAAAATCTAATTCAATTAATAATTACAGCTCGTATCAAATTCAAATTAATTCGATCTGTCATCGATGATGATGATGATGATGATGATGATGATAATTGGATTTAAAGAATGTGAAATATTTTTATTTTATTTTTTTTTTGAAAAGCAGAAAATTCGTGTGAATTCCGTCCGGATTCTCGCCTCATCTGTTAAATGTGATTATTATCAAACAACAATCATCATCATCATCATCATCGTTATCATTGTAATAATAATAACAATAATTCAAAGAGAGAAAAAAAATGTGGGGAAATTTTTTTTTACAACACCAAAGAAAAACAGAAAAACAAACGGAACATCATCTCTATTTTATATAGAAAGAAATGATAAAATTTGCTGACAAAGATGAATTTAAATTAACAGGCTATTTTTGGTTCACCATACACTTTACAGATACTCTGTGTAAATGTGTGTATGTGTGTGTCGGTGAAGAAAAAAAAAAACAAACGAATCCAAAACCACAAGAATAATATGAAGAATGATCCGAATGATAATAATGATATATATACACACTGTTATCATTATTATTTGATTGATATGATCATAATGATAAACAAAATGTTTTTTTTTTGTTCAAAACAATTTGAATTCAAATTCAAATAGAAAAACAAACAATTAAAATATCATGTGTTTGTCACCGAAAATCAGCCAAAAAAAAAAAAAAACCCCAAAAATAACCATTATTCATAATTTGGTTTATTTCATGATGCTCTCATTAATTCATCAAAGATAGAATGAAAATTTTCCATTTCATATAGTGGTTATATTATCAATGTTTGATATCTATGGTGTGGTGATGTCACTGATGTGATGTGATCAAATATATGTGTAACAACCATTGTCTCGACATTCGTGTGTAATGTTGATGATGATGAAGACATGTCACCACCATTGAATTTTTGGCTGAATTCTTTTTTTTTTTTTTTTGTTAAATTTCCACCCACCTCTAGCCGACACCCCCCACGATGTTTTCAATATTATAACTATAAGTTAATTTGAATTTTATTTGTAAAAGAAAATTCGTATTTTATTATGTGTTGTTGTTGTTGATGATGATGATGACGCTAATCATGCAGACAAATCATGATGCTTATTAGGCTTATAATAATAAAATGATGATGATGTTGTTGATGATGATGATGATGATGAAAAAACGTGTATAGCAAGTGTTGAGATTTCAATTGATTATATTTCTATGAGCGCAAAGAAAAGGCGTTTCTTTTTCATTAAATTATCTACAACTAACGGTAAGTCTGTTTTGGTGTCGATCGGTAATTACAATGGCTGATTGGCTGCTTTTTTCTTTCTTTTCCTACTGCTATATCATTGTGTGTGTGTGTGTGTGTATGATGTTATCAATGAGCAAAGCACCACCCATTTAGGCGTGGCCAATTTTCTTTCTATTTTTTTTATTTATCGTTTTTTCTTGTTGCGAAAATTTTTCCGATTTCATCCGTTCAATGGAGATGATGATAAACACGATGTTTTACGTTTTTCTTTTTTTTTCTTCAATTGATTTTTGATTTTAATCTTGAATATAATCAGATAAAATGATTATTAATTTGTTTAAACGAAAAATTTGTTTCTTGTAAAAAAAAAAAAAAAAATGAACGTTGAAAATCATCATCATCATCATTCACCAGCATTATCATCATCATCATCATCCACTACATCAACTGAATCTACACAGGTAAACGGTGAAATAGGTCATCCTTTTAGTATTGATCGTTTATTGGAACAAAATCAATCATCATTGCCGAAATCAAATTTTAATCAATTGTTTTTACCACAACAACGAACAATTTTCGATACAAATTTTCTACAGAATCAAACATCATCATCATCATCATTATATCATCGACATCCAGCATATTTATCGAATGAAATTAATAATAATCAATTGATCAAATTGAATCATCATAATCAATTACAGCTAACAGCATCATCTTTAACATGGCTCAATACACAATTGATCAAACAACAACAACAACAACAACAGCAACAGCATTCATCAATGAATCCAAATAGTAAGTTTTCAACAAAAAAAAAAATCAAAGGAAAAATTTCCCAAAATCAAATTGAAATGGCCTTTATGACATTCGGTTATCACCGGTTAACACTTTTTTTTAAATTTCGTTAGTTCTAAGTCGCTAAATTATTGTCTTTTCTCTCTATGTGTCATTTTTATCAATTGATAATTTAATTGTAATAGAAAATAAATTTTTCTATCAAATAAGCAATAATTATCCATCAAATCAAATCAATGTAACCAAATTTGAAAATAATGATTAGGGGAGGAATTTGAAGCCAAATTGATAATTATCATCATCATCATCCTAAATCATGCCATTGCCGAATCTTCATTGACAATACAATACATTCGATGATGATTCGTGTCTGATGACTATATATAATAATAATAAAAAATCTAAACAAAACAGAAATCAATGAATTAACAATTGGATAGGAAAAAAAATCGGCAGATTTTTTTTTTTACCAAAATTTTGGTGATTTCTGATTAAACACAAGACACACACAGTGTGTGTGTGTGTGTGTGTTTGATAATTCCATTCGCGTGACTTTTTGATCAACTTTTGTCGTTATTTGGCTGAATTGTGAACAACAACAACACTAAATAACCACCAAAACTTATGATTCAACACTGTAATTTTATCATTATTTCATCAAAATTGGGCAGATGTATCAAAGATAATAATTGATCAAGCGGATAAACACACACTAATACTATAAGTCAATATATGATCATCATCATCATTGAAATATTTTAGCTATATAAAGGCGGACAAAGAAAAGATCTCACCATATATATTTGAGGTTTTCATTTTAATTTTTGATTTTTTTTTTTTTTTTTTTTGTGTAATTAGCGATAATAACTTAATTATTATTGTGTTCACCTAGTATTTATATTCTCTATTGATTGGATAACCAATGGATTAATTGCACGCAATCAATGAAATCATTATTATTGCCAGAATATAAATTATTGATGAATTTATTTTGTGTTTATGTGTACATATAATGTGCTGCTCATTTTTTATTTAATTGATTTTCATTTTTAAAATCTGTCCGATTGATTCATTGGAAAAAAATTTAATTGTAAACAGGTCCAGTTAAATGTCAACTAAGACGTCATAAATCGAATCGTAAACCACGTACACCATTCACCACACAACAGTTATTGGCATTGGAGAAAAAATTTCATCATAAACAATATCTATCCATTGCTGAACGTGCAGAATTTTCCAGGTAATGTGAATCCAATGATAAACACACACACACACACACATACACACACATGATATCTTTGATAATCAAAAATTTTTGTTGTCATTGTTTGTAGTTCATTGAATTTGACCGAAACACAAGTGAAAATTTGGTTTCAGGTAAACGAAAATTTTTTTTTTGCAATTCAAAAATTAAAACAATTATGATTTATATATATAAAAACAATTGATAGAATCGTAGAGCCAAAGAAAAACGGCTAAAAGAAGCAGAGATTGAAAAATTGCGATTAAATTCACGTTCATTATTACATTTATCATCATCGGTCAATCATCGTGGTATGCATCCATCGATTATTCCAAATATAGCCAATTTGGCTCATACCAGAATGTTGAATTCATTGACAACATCAGAATCATCCACACAACAACATCAATCATCATCGACCGATTTAATTAGACAGTTAGCATTATTCAATCATCATGCAAATCATTTGATGGCTACCGCAACTCAAAAAGACAACAGCAATAATAACAACTTAGAAAATTTAGCCGTTAATCACGTTAATAATACATGAAACGGAACAACAGAATGTCCATTGTATTGGACCAATCATAAGAGAAGTTCAATCCATTTTAAATTCTTGTGTGTATTATATATTATTATTATTTATTTAGATAGTTTTCTAATAAATTGATTAAATTAAATTTTCTTGGGAAACAAAAAAAACAAAATCATTGCCAAAAAAACCAATGTATATATACATTATTTGAATTTTTCATTTTGTCATATACTTTATGAACGGACCTGAATGTTTTTTATTCGATGCGAATCAGGTGTGTGTGTCTGAATTGTGTGTGAAGTATTTTTATTTTTTCTAACGAAAATAATTCAATCACATCATGAATCCAACGGAAAATTCACTTCCAACAACAAGTAGTAGTAGCAGTAGTAGTAATAATAATAATAATTTAAATAATCCAATTGTCAATAATAATTATGTTGATGATGATGATGATGATGAAAATTCCAATACTAATAATAATCATCAAACATCACAACAACCTCAATTCGGTGGCGATGATGAAGAATTTTTAATTCATCTACAATTTGATGAAGATTCACATCCATTATTACGTTATAGTGTTGATGATTGTAAAATATTGGGCATACATGATGGAAAATTATTGATACGTATTGGTGATTCATTCTTTTTTGGCCATCTAGATAATCGTCAACAAACATCGGTTCTGTTTGCATATGAACCGAATCATAAATTTATTCAAGAAATTCATAAAAGTTTTTCAAAAATTATTATGAAACGTGTTATATTGAAACCGAAAGAAGATAAAATCAACAACAACAACCAACAATTATTAAAATGGACACGTCATCTGAGATTGATTAAAATTCGATTTGCTCTACATTTTTTATTTTTATTTTTTAGCTTAATTGTATCTTCATCGTTGTTTGTTATGCAATCAACAACAACAACAACAAACTAATAAAGAAATACTGCTGATGTGGCCACACACACACACATTTGCACACACAACTGAATAGAAATTGTTGTTTGACAAGTTTTTTCCAGTAATTGCACATTTTTCATCATAATTTTCGACAATCAAAAAAAAAAAAAAATCACAATGATCCTTTGATAATAATACACAAAAATTATTCTTTGATTCTATTCGGTCATTCTCATCATAGTGAAAGCTTCGATTAATTTAATTTTCAATCAATCAATCGGTTTTTGTGTGTGTGTGTGTCTGTAGTCAAAATGAATGTCAATCGATTCATATTCATTTCATTACTTATCGATCTACTGGCATTCACTTTGATATTACCATTATTGCCATCATTATTGGAATGTTTTGCTAAACAAGATACGGTATTTTTTTCCGATTCCATTTGATTCTTGATGATTTTAAAATTTCAATTTTATTTTGTACAGAGTGGCCTTTATAATTATGTGGATAATTTTATACAATCAACTCAACAATGGATCGGTGGACCACAAATGTTCAATAGATGTATGTGGATAATTTATCATTATTCTTTTGTTTGTTCAATTAAATAAATTTTTTTTTTATTCCTCGTTTCAATAAAAGCTTTATTCGGTGGTCTATTGGGTTCATTGTTTTCATTTCTTCAATTCATTTCGATGCCAATCATTGGAATGCTTTCGGATATTTATGGCCGCCGTCCATTATATCTTATTTGTTTAACTGGAATTTCAATATCTTATTTTTTTTGGTCAATTTCTATCAATCATTTTGGAATATTTGTATTATTTCGTATCCTGAATGGTTTAAGCAAAGGAAATGTTAGTCTTAGTACAGCAATTGTAACTGATGTTACTACGGAAAATAAACGTGGTAAAGGATTCGCAACGATTGGCATTGCATTTTCCATTGGATTTATTGTATGTTCAATCAATTCTACTGATTTCAATTCATTCAAAATAATTAATTTGATTTTTCAATCAACAGGTTGGCCCTATGATTGGTGCAATATTATCCAAATTACATTGGTCACCACCAGATGGCACCGGTTCATTTTGTTTTCAATTATTCCCACCAATATTTGCATTTATTTTATCTTTGATTAATATGATTTTTTCATATCATTATTTACCTGAAACATTATTGCCTCATAAACGAGTAAGTAATTCATTTTTTTTTTGGACGGTGTAAATTTTAATTTAACAAACATTCAATCCAAAATTACTATAGGCTACATCACTTTGTAACAGTCTTGTCGATGCATTCCATTATATTAATCCATGGTCATTGTTTTCATTTAAAATTGTTAAAAATTTAAACACCAAAGGTATGAATTGATTCAAATGAAAAGATTAAAAGTTAATTAACACATTTCGTCTTCTTTATACAGAAAAATCCATCCTCCGATATGGTGCATTTGTCAATTTTTCCTTCTTATTCATCTATTCTGGATTAGAATTTACACTTGCATTTCTAACATTTATTCGTTTCAATTTTACTAGGTAATTTGAAAATTTCTAACTAATTAATTTTTTAATTAATTTGTGTTTTTCTTCTTTTTTTTTCTGTCCCTTCCACACCACTTGTTTGTCATAGTATGGATCAAGGAAAATTATTTTTCTACGTTGGTTTTCAAATGTTTCTGATACAAGGTGTTTTATTACGACGTATCAATCATAATTATTACAATCATCTTCTTTTATCGGTTAGCTTTTTTAATTAAACTTTGTTCATATTTAAATTAATCGATGATTATTATCATTTTTTTGTAGGGAATATTATTGGTCATACCTGCATTTATTATTGTTGGATATGCACAAACCATTACCGGACTTTATCTAGGATTAATACCATATGCATATTCATCGGCAATCGTTATACCATCATTATCGACTACATTCTCATCATTCGGTAATTCAAGCCAAAAAGGTGTCCTATTAGGTATATTTCGTTCAATCGGTGCATTAGCTCGTGCATGTGGACCAATGACAATGTCATTCAGTAAGTGTAAATATAGATTATTTTAAATTTTAAAATAACAACTTTTTTTATTCCATTTTAAGTATTCTGGAGATTTGGAATCGAAACAGCATATACGATTGGAAGTATTCTTCTATTAATACCATTATATCTAGGTTATCAATATCATATACAATGTAAAACATATCGTTCTACATTTGAATAAAGTGTTAATTCTTCACACACAGTTAACCCGAAAAAAACGATTTGGAAAATTTTTTATTTTAAAAAAAGAACAAAATTATATACACACAAATTCCACAAGAACCAAAAAAAAAAAAAAATCAATGATTCTCGTGATCAAAGAAAAAGAGAATCTAATTGTCAATTAATGGCAATCATTGTCTAGCATTCACTCATTCATTCATTCATTCAATTGAGATTTGTTGATTACTAAATGTTTTTCTGTTGTTGTTGTTGATTGTTGTAATCAAAATTGCTTTATATAAATTGAAATAAAAAAAAACTTTCTTTGTTTGTAAAATGAAGATGATTTGATTTGATTTGATTTCAATTGAATTTTCACCAGAAAATCATTTCCAAATACTTTCTTGTGTGTGTGTGTGTGTGTATTGTATATGTGGCTGGTTTAACATTCGAATTGAATAGTTTCTCATTCTCGTTAGTAATGTTTTTTTCCCTTTTCTTTAATTTCGGTTTCTGGTTCGAATGATGAGTGTGTGTGTGTGGAATAAGAGCTCTTTTCATGTGTGAAAAGGAGCGAAAATCGATTGAACGAATACAAATGATCGTGATGATGATTCTGATTTTGACCTCTTTTTTTTCTTGATCACCATTCGTATTGATTTAATTGGATTTGTTATTGAAATTCTCTCTTTTTCGATTGATTGAATTGTGAATTAATTAACACACTTTGTATTCGTATTTTCACATTCATCCATCTATGTGTGTTTGTACTTGTCATTGGTCATGACAATAATAACCGGAATAATTAACAACAACAACAACAACAACAACAAAAAATAATATCCGGATGATGGTGTGGTCCGAATAATTATATTGTATTGATGTTTAATGTGTCTGCTTTCTTTGAATGTGTGCGTGTGTCGGTCAACACAACAACAACAACAAAAAACAGCAGTTGTTTATTTTATATTCAACACATCAATGACCAAAGAGCATTTTTACAAAAATATAGTGTGAAAAAAATGCCGCTCGACTCAAATCGTTCTGTATGACCTCTTGTTTCGAAATTTTTCTTGTTTTGTTTTTGATCAAACCGACAGCTAATGTCGTCGTCGTCGTCATCGGTACCGTTTTCCATAGCCGTTCTTTGATGTTGAACCAAAAAAAAAAAAAAATTGCTCTGAAATCATCATCATCATCATGATCACCATCAATGGATGAAACAGATACCGCGCCTGAAATAGTAAAATGCCGCGCCAAATCGGGCAATAATTCTGGTGAATTTCTGGTGTTTTCGGGCAAAGAATTTTCATCATCATCATCATTACTTTTTTTGTGTTAGAATTGAAATTTTGTTTTTCCTTTCTTTAGGGTAATTAAAAAAAAAAATTCATCTTTATTTAACGGGAAATTTTTTCAATGTAAAAGAAATTCTTGATTTTCTTGATAAAACACTAATTCTTTCGTCGTCACTAATAAATAAAAAATTCAAATCAAATATTGCATAAACAAATCATCATCATCATCAATCAATGTTAACACAATTGTGTCATTGTATAATTGATATATTTAAATTAGCGTTCAAAACGAACAAAAAAAAAAAATAAATTAATTGAATTTAAAACATTTTTTAACAACCATTTTTTTCAAACCATCAAGAATTATCATCATCTTGTATCGAAGAGTTGTGTGTGTGTGTTTCATATATTGTTGAGTTGAATTAGATTCGAATGTTTGCAAAAAAAACGATTCGAACCATATTCGATTGATGATGATGATGATGATGATTATGGTTATGGTGAACGTCGCGACGAATTAGTGTCGAATTATTTTTCTAAATAGAAAAAAAAATACGAAGACGATAAAATGCTTCTTGTTTGTCATCACGATGTATTCAATTTCCAATTTTTTTTTTCTATATTATAAATCGTAGCAGCTTTTCCGAAATGTATTCATCCTTGTTGTTGTTGTTGTTGTTGTATGAACACAACAACAACAACAACAATCCCTGTCATTGATCAACATCATTAAATAGTAAAAATGTGCCTGTCACAAGTGTGTATATATTTGATCGATTTATTTTTTTTTTTTTTTTTCCATTTGTTATAGATAGATCTGATGATGGTGGCCTCAAATACAGTGGAAATTAGCTACTGAAAATGGACTGATTTTCTCATTTTTTAGTCGATTCGCGATTATTATATGTCTCTATTCTTCATCAAATGCATTCATAGTCTGTTTGTCAGTCAATGAATAATAAGAATAATATAATTGGACTTTCCCTTTCATCATTTGTTTGAATTTTTTTTTCTTCATTCGAAGGCTTAAATTACAGTTCATAAGAGCGAAAGAAAGAAAGAAACAAACTATATAAGTCACCCCATCAAACTATAGTAGTAGTATTTTATTTAAACATTTATTTACATCAATTTACATGCCACACACAAACACCATCAATCCAGAGAGAAAAAAAAGAAAAATCCATAAAACACAAATTAGAATGTGTACGAAAAAAAAAAAAAAAACATTCATCATCAAGCATTTAGCAGCATTTTCCGTCTGAAGGAACGCGATTTCTGGTCACAAATGGACAAAATAAGAAGAAAAGTTCCAAATACCGCACACTAAGCTATTTAAAATATCTGGCTGGGTAAATATTAGTTCCGACACATTTTTTTTTTTTTTTGAAACATGATCCAATTTGCAGTTCTTCAATTTTTTTTTTGACACGAATCCATTTGTATACAATCAATATATGTATACATTAAGTAAGCATAAATAAATTTAAAAGCCTTGGTTTGATGTCAATGTCGTCGTCATCATCGTCAACATCATCATCATCATCATCATCAAACTAAAGTCAATCATTTTAAACGGAAAAAAAATCCGTAAAGAGACCGGATTATAGAGATCGTGTGATGTGGACCACCATCATTATCATGTTAACCATGTATTTTTCTATCGACAATTTCTAAAATCTGAAATTATTCTGGATTTTTGATTTTTCTTCATCATAGAAAAAAAAGAACGCACCTAGTTGATGATTTTTGGTTGATGAATTTTCTTTTCTATTTTCAAGTCAAAAATGATCAATGTTGACAAATCAATTACATTTCATTTCATATATAAATATAAATGAAAAGCTTACTATAGCCACCTGTCATCATCTCATTTTCTTCAAAGTTTGGATATCTGGATATAATAATCATCAATGATCAAGGATCGACGCTGCACACACACACACACACACACACATTAACCTCACCTTATCATACCAACCATATACCAAATATATAAGGATGGAAAATACATATTTTCGAATATGGTCAAATATAAATGTCATCAACACATCAAAACATTAAAACGCCGACAACAACGACAACGACATGAGCATTTTTTTTTTTTCGTTGATCATCATCACAATAAAAGCATAGTTTTATCGTTAATTAATTACTTATTTTTTTTTTTTGACTAGTCAATATGAGTGAAAAAGTCGATAATGTGATAATATGATAAACCAAAATTTTTCTAAATACAACTATGAAACAATTATTTACAAATTTTTTCTTTTCTTGTTGACAGTTGTTGAAGCCTCTTTTCATAAATACAAGGAGTGGGAGAGAAAATTTTTTTTATCCATTGATTTACGAGAACAACACACACACACACACACACACACAGGTGATCAATAATGATGATAAGCAGATTTCAGAGTTCTCTCTCTCTCTCTCTCTTTGTATTCAATAAATAAATTCTCTTCGTCTCTTCACATTTGATGATTTATTCATCAGCTAGACTACTTTATATATATACACATACATACTTTGCAATTAATGATGATTATCAATTATTTATTTATTTGGCGACAACATGCATTTATTAATTTTTTGTTTTTTGTCAACAAATGTTTGTCATTTCAAATCAATTGATAATGATTAAGATTTTTTTTTTTTTTTTTTGGAATAAAAAATTTCCTCCTAATGATGATGATCATCGATCTTATCGTCTTAAAATGAACGACACTCCTTATCGTCTCTCTTGGTTGTTTGTTTGGATGAAAGATTTTTTTTCCTTTAAAGCATTGAACAACAAAAAGGTAAACTAAGCTAATCCAAATCAAACACAATGGTAAATCTTCATCATCATCATCATCATCATAAGAAAACACACTAATCACATAATCATCATCATCATCATCATCATCATCATCATTATCACCACCATTTGCTGTCATTTGATATGAATGTTATGTTTTATTTTTCAAGTTAATAATTTTCAATTTCTTCTCGCGCTTCTAATATTTCATATTTTCTTATATATTTTTTCCGATAAAGATGTCATCTTCATCATCATCGTATTATCATTGTTCACCATCTTTTTTTTTGGCTCATATTCATGGTCATGATCAATCTATCGAGCTACCTTACCTGATAATGATAATAATTAGTTAGATTTAAATTCAAAATTCATTCGAAATAAGATCAGTGAATAAAATTGATGATAAAATAAACAAAGTCGAACGATACAAACATGATTGTTCAATGATTTATTGATGAATTCTTGTCTCTCGAATTAAATTTTTTTTTTTATTTTACTCTCCCAAGATAAAAAAAAATTCAACCTTTTTTTTGTAAAAATTTTTAGGATGATTGTGAACTTTTAGGATCCATTAAAATCATGAAGGAAGCTTTTCATTTGCACTTAACTATTTAATACTCAGATAAAGTTTTTCATTTTTGGGTGACGAGTAGTAGTAGCGCCCTTTATGTGTCACAAACACACACACACACACATCCGACATCCGATATTAACATTGAACAAACAAGGAAGAATAAGTTTCAGACTACTACTACTGTTGTTAAAAACATTTGTGATGTTTATGTAAGTGTATATGATTGGCGCATATTTGATTGACGCCCGCCCTTTTTTTTATCGTTTAACATTTAGAGTAAATATCACAGTTTAGTTTGTTCAATGGTAAAAGCCGCCTACAATTTTATTTTTTTCAGTGTAATAATATTTTTAATGGCTGTTGTGTGTTTCACATTCAAAATAAAAGTAGTCATCTCACATCTCAATACACAGTAAAGAGATGTGTTTGTTTGTATGTTTATGTAAAGAGGGATGTTATTGATATTGAGAACTGTGAAAAAGAAGAAGAATAATAAGAAGAAAAATACGAAATTTATTTACATACATGGATTACCAGAAAAAATCAATGAAATTTTGTATGAAACAAAAAAAAACTTAATTTTCCAAGAAAAAATTGAGTTTCAATTTGAAGTGGCGCGTGTGTGACACACACACACACAAGTCAGTGATAATTCTGAAATTTCTGAAAAAATTCTCCACTTCGAAATATGATGCATGAACAGCAACAACAGAATTTGAATTCCAATCCATTTTCAATATCATCATTATTAAAACGTAAAGATGATGATCGTGATCATTCAAGACTTGAATTATCTCAACAACAACCAGGTGGTAATGATGAATTAAATCCAATTCCAATTGCTCGATTAATTGAATCAACAACAACGACGACAGGGTTAAATGAAACAATAATTAATGATAATACATCATCATTGAATTCTATCGCCATATCCGATCGAACATCATCGGTTCATTCTCATCATCATCATCATCAGTTACAATCAATTATATCTCATGATGATTTCAACATTGCAATACAAGCTGCTGCTGAACAATTTTATTCAAATTTTCATTCATGGATTCATCATCGATCAACGGCAACAACAGCGATTCCGGTAATGGTAAATCACAACGATCATCATCATCATCAAACACAAACATTACCACCAACATCTACATCAATAGTTGATCATCATCAAAATCTTTTGGAAATGTATCACCAATACATGTTATCATCATCATCGTCATCGTCATTGTATAATAGTCAAAAATTCCTTATGAATAATGATAATCGATTATTAAAAAATTGTAATTTATTGAGAAAATTTCACATTTTCAATGAACAAAATTCTTCACCACAACAACAACAACCACAGCAACAATCGTTGGAATTGAAAGCTGAGAATATGACGACAACATCATCATCATTATCAATAAAAGGTTAGATTTGTCTTAAAATGATGAAAATTTCTTTTTTTTACCATTCGATTTTCAATAGATATGACCACCGATTTTAATCATCGAAATCAATCGACCAGTGGCCGACATTGTATGAATAATAATAAAATTCGTCCATCGTTAGAATCACATAATAGTAATAATAATCTAAATAATCAATTGAATAAACCGAAAACGAAAAAGAAACGATCAAGGGCAGCATTTTCACATGCACAGGTTTATGAATTGGAAAAACGTTTTAATCATCAAAAATATCTAAGCGGACCGGAACGTTCGGAATTGGCGAGAACATTAAAATTGACTGAAACACAAGTAAAAATATGGTAAGCGAAAAAGTTTTGTCTTTGTTTTTTTGTCCAAATGAATTTAATTTTGCATTCAATAAAAAGGTTCCAAAATCGCCGATATAAAACGAAACGGAAATTACAACAATCGTCCATGCAACAGCAACACCATCAACAACGATTACGAAATGATTCATTGAATAATGATGAAACAACAACAACAATAACGATACAACCGCAAACAGCAATGACAATGATGATTGGAAAAAGATCATCAATGAATCCGGATTCAAATGATTCACAAAATTTATTAATTGATGTCGATGTCGATGTCGATGTCGATGATAATGATGATGATGATGATGACGATGACGATGTTAACGAGGACCATATGGATGAAAATGGCCAAATTGGAATTAAAAGTGGCCATTTCGACATTATCAACACTGATTTCCATGATGATAATAATAGTGGTAGTAATAATGTAGTCGATGACGATGATGATGATGTGAATCAATTACGATTCACCACTAGAGGTTTATTTTCGCAATGGTTTCTGTGAAAAAGAAGAAGCACAACAACAGAATATTGAAAAATTCTTTTTTTTTTTCACACTTTCATTCATTCATTCATTCGATCAATCAATCAATCAATATTCAATTCAACTCTATATTGATAATTTGCAAATCGTTTTTTTTCATTTTTGTTCACTTTTCAATTAAAATAATAGATATGATTTTATATGTGTGTGTTTGAATGGAATTTTTTCGTGTTTTGGATTTTCCACCACCACAACGACAACAACAACAACAACAACAAATTTCCTATCTTTATGGCACGTGTCATATGTTGTTGTTGTTGTTGTTGTTTTGATTGAATCAAATCAATTCACAATTGTCACGCTCAAAATCGATTTGAATGAATCAAAACGCACACACATACACACACACACGGACCAGCCTCGATTGAATCCGAAAAAAAGAATATCAGTCCAAATCAATTCTAAATTTATCATTGCAAATCAAATGAAAGAAAAAAACATTCGATTATTTTCGTTTCCTTTTCTCTCTCTCTCTTTTTCTCTTCAAGAAATAAGATTTGTCATCGAACAATTACGATAATTGCCATTTTGCAATACACTACTTAATGCAGATGATGATGGGTGAGTAGTATCAGCACACAGTGACAAAACTTATATTAATGTAAGGTATAAGTGTTGTTAGCGAATATTGACCATATTACATAAGAATAATAATGATAATGGGAAAACCATTTCATCATTCATTCATTGTATTTGTGCAAAAAAAGCAATCAAACTAAGTAAAAGTAATGGTAATGATAATCTTACATGAGAGTATACAAAGTAAGTAAATGTGAAATCCGATTATATTTCGATTCAAGAATTTGATGGATTTTTTTTATTTCGATAAAAAGCATATTCATATGTGTTGATTTGCCTAAAATGTGAACGATATGATTTTGATCGATTTTTGTCTGAAAAATTACTAACAAACTTTGATCATAAAATGGCTGCCATCTATCGTTGTGGATAATCAAAACATTTGATGTTTACATTTTTCACTCAAAAGATGGCAGTTGGAATTTCGAATTCACAAATTTTGGAAATTCTTTGTTTTTGGTTTGTGATTAATTGAAATTTGAATTTGAATTTGAATTTGAATTTTGTTGTTGTTTCAACCACGCCTCATTGCTTCAATCATTATCATCATTATTCAGCCGAAATGATCTTGTAATTTATCTTATCGTTTTTGTTTTGCAATACGATCAAATAAATAAATAAAAATCAAAGAAGAAAAAAATTGGCAATCAAATCAAATCAATCAACAACAATTCAACCGATCAATCGATGATGATGATGATGATGATAATGTCAATCGGGTGTTTATTTGAATTGCATCGATCGGTCGATTGATTGTACCAATCATCATCGTCATGGTTATAAAGTAGCAAAAAAAAAAGAATTCGATTGATTTGAAAATTTTAATTTCAATGAAAAAATAAATAAACGAAAATTTTGGGTGCAAACTTGCGACAAACGAAACAAATATTGAAAAAAACAAACAATTTATACGGTTGAATAATTGCCAATTTTCAATTATTGATTGAATTTTTTTTTCTCGTTCAAATTGAATTCATGTATTGATTGAGAGAAGAACAAAATTTGTTTGTTTGATTAGAATCCAATCATCGATCAATAGACCGTGTTTATGTCAATCTGACCATGAATGGGCGGCTATTTTGCACCAAAATTCAAGATTCGAATCTTTGATCATTCGAAAAGACTCATCAATGTCAGTGTTTTTCGTGGATTCATCATCATCATCATCAGCAGTATTAAGTAATTTAAAATTTTTAAACTGATGTGATCAACAACAGCAACATTAAATTACCCCAACAAAATACAAAGAAATTTTCGGCAAAAAAAACAAGATCAAAATGTAATCAAAACAAAGATGGGAGAAAAAAAATTGATTTTTTTTTCTCAAAAATCCACATTAAACTATCCCAGATATATACATTCAAATCATTATCAATCAATCAATCAATCAAACGTGAATCGTTTCAAATCGATAGTTACAAGTCCATTTTAATACATTGAATAACATTACATAACATTCATACTACATCATCATCATCATCATCATCATCATCCCATTCAATAATGGCCGCTTAAGTATGTAATTTGAAAAAAATAGAGATTTTTGCCATAATTGACATTTGAATTTTTCATTTCTTTCATTCTTGATCATCTTTATTGTTTGTTTGTGTCTATTAAGGGATCTGTCATCAACAGCAACAACAACAGCAGCAGCAGCAGCCATAACAAGATGATGATTATCATCAACCAACCGACAATAGACCGACAAATAAACATTGTTTGTTGAAAACGAAAAACAAACGACAGGCATCTGACATATTCAATCACACAAACACACACACACACACACACACTTTGTAAATAAGTGTCTGTTGTCTGTATATTTTTTTCTGTTTTTCTCATTGAAGACATATTCAATTATCATTATTATTATCATTATATAGCCAAACAAAATATATACTTGTGATGATGATGTTCAATGTGTATGTTATGTGTGTATTATACTATTACTACACATCACAATTCCATTTAGACATATTCCATTTCTTCATCATTATTTTTCGTTTTATAAAATGGGCCCATTATTATCATGTGTGGTAAGTGATTATCTTGAAAAAAAATTATTATTATTATTATTATTATTATCGAATCTAAAATATAAATGATGAAAATAATTTTAGAACAACAACAACAACAACAACAAAAAAAATCATAAATGCTATGAAAAAGAGGAGGACGAGGTAAATATTTATAAATAAATAAAAAAAAACTTTATTTTTCTACTCTCCCTTCGCCAACAACCCCCTCCTCCCCAAAATTATTTTTTAGATAAAGAGAAGTGGTGTTTTTTTTTTTTTTGCTATTATTATTATTATTATACCACATATATTACATGTCAAGAATCCAGAATATACCCTCACACACAAAACAAACGTGTGGCACGTGATAAATAATTTTCAATTTACTTGATTATAGTCGATCATATTGGTTATACACATTCTACACTGTTTAAAAGAAAGAGAAAAAAATGATGATGATGATGATGATGAAAAATCACTTAGTCAACTTTAGTTGTCCAATGTTGTTTCATGTGTATATAGTATGACGAATGATTCTTTCTATTTTTTAGCCTAAAAAATATCGTTTAAATTGAATTGAATTGTGAATTTTTATTTTTTGGTTTGTTTAGTTAGAAATCATTTATGATGATAATGTTGATGATCATTATCATATTAAAAATTGATTGAAAACACACAAACACCACACTGCCACACTTAACATCGATTATTTTTTTTTGTTTTGTTTGATGAAAAAATTGGCAGCGATCATACAACAACAACAATAAAAATTACACCATTACATTTATTGACTACATTATGTGTTTGATGCTTTTAATAATGTTTTGCTCTGAGACAATAGCAGCAGCAGCAGCAGAAACAGGGAGAGAATAAAATGATGACTACCAATCATCATCAAAATAACAATAAAAGAGGTGTTGTCTGTAATAATAATAATAAATTTTAAACTATAAAGCACCCCAAAAAAATATACCACAAACACACAAGGGGCAATTGTGCAAACATAAGTTAAAGTTAAATATAAATGTTTTGGCCACTGGTCAACGTTGATTGGCTATCTATCTGAATCATTTATTTCTTTTTCTGATGATGATGATGATCATCATCATCATATGTTCTGAAACTGATTTTTTTTTGTATTGGATAAAATCAGCCTAATAATGTTGAACAGAGTTTTCAATTTTTCTACGATTATTATAAACAGAATGAATGATGAACACAGAGAACAAAAAAAAAATCGTGCATTGAACAGCCCATTGATCGTGGTCAAACATTTTTTTTCTGTTATTGTAGTCATTGAACAAAAAAAATTTCAAATAATCATGGTTGCTGCTGATATTTAATGATGATAATCATAAATAATTGTAAGATGTGTATGTTTGAATGAAGAAATATCTTACTTTTTTTTAAAAAATTTTACAATATAGGCACCTGGCCAGCCAAAATCGATTATTTTATGATGATGATATAGAGTTTTATTGTTTTTTTGTTTTTGTTTCATATATATCAAAATATGTTCCAAATCAATCGATACGAAATTTTTTTTTCGACGAAATTTTCCGTAATATTTATATTTTCTGGGAAAAATCCCAACTAATTAGGACACAAACACTAAAAAAAAGTTATGGTTTCAATTAGTAAAATGTGTCTGATGATCACGATGATATGATGATCATCAACAACAACCAAATACATTGATTATTATTTAAAATATAAAGATAGCCGCAAGCTAATCTGTGTACCAGTCGTTGTCTTTGAAAGTTGTCAGTGGTTGTTGTCTTATTTCGTCGGCTTTTACCATTCAATTTAGCTTAATTACAAAGTTAACTTTGTTCATGTCCTGTT